GAGATCCGCCTGCCTCTGCCTCCTGAGTGCTGGGATTAAAGGCGTGAGCTACCTACACTCCGCCTTAGCTCATCTCTTTAAACCTTATCTCTACAATGATGCCTCCCAGGTATGACCTCTGTCCAACACCAGAGCATCTACAGTAAGACTGGTGTTTGGTGGCGTCTGGATATCTGGCAGTTTTCTCAAATTTTTGTTCGAGTGAAACTTTCTTTTTCTCCTCATCAATCTGTCCCTCCTTCAGTTTCCACTCTAGGTAAATCCTGTACTCCCCCCCCCCCATTTCCTTCACTGGTCCCTGCAGCCCTGATTCTTCTCTTCCGTGGGCCCTGCAAATACAAACCCATCCATAAGTCTTATCAACTCTTCCTCCTTGATGGACCGAACCCTGTCACTTTGGGCTTTCTGGTCTACCAAATGCTCCTTGAGGCGGGGCTTGCAAGGACAGCAGTGTCACCAAGAATCTTATCACCATCACCACATCTGGGGTTGGAAGTTGAGCACCCTGGGAACAGTTCCTCAGAGGACTTAGACCACACTGAAGTTTGACCAGCACTGTTGCTGGCCCAGGCCAGCGTGGTCTCCGATCCATGCTGCTACAATCACCTGCAGCAGCTCGCATTATTTATCTTACCACAGTGTAATCTGTTTTCTCCAGGCAGCCAGAGTAACTCCTTAAAACAGTGTCAGGAGAGCTGGGGGTGTTGAGCAGTGGGTAGAATGCTCACCGGAGGCCCTGGCTCCAATCTCCAGCTCTCCACAAACTTTGCAACAAAGTGAGTTCCAGGCCAGCCTGGGCTACAGATGGGAGGGCCACCCCCATGTCAAACAGCAAAAAAGAAAACAGAAGTTCTTTTTCACCTTCCAAATTGGCAAAGACTAACAGCCGCTGCTATTGTTGTTAGAAACACAGGAATGCTGGGAGGGAAAGCATTTTGGCAATGCCCACAGAGTCGCAAAGTAACATACCATTAGCTCAGCCAGTTTTTCTAGGAAATTGCACTACAAGGGACCTGGCACATATAAGGAGGGGCATCTTCACAATAGCACTGGGAGTAGCAAAATATTGGAGACCACATAAAAACCCTTGAGCCTGACCTGGCTTATGGACAGCATGTGGCAGACATGTGTGAGCATGTGTGTGTGTTCATTACCTGTGTGTTCATGAGCTTTGGCTGGTACAGCAAGTGGCAGCAGAGGGAAAGGAGCCTCCGGGAAGGAGGAAGTCAAGTGTTGCAGAAACCAGGGCTGACTCACCGACGCCCAACTCACAAAGAAGCTCTCCAAAGCCCTTGGGTGAGCTGGGTTCTGATGTGTTCCCGGAGGAGAGGGAGTGAGAAGGTACGGAGTTCACGGTAACTGATTGTTTTGTGTGTGGCAAGGGTCTCTGTTACTGCAGCTTGTTCTCAAAGCAGCTGAAGGCGTGGCCCCAGCCTCCTACCGCAGATAAGGAAAACCAGGCACAGAAATGTCAAGCCACTTGGCAGATGTCATGCAGACCTGGCAGAACCGGAAACACGTTTCCCAAATTCAATCCACTGAGCACCGAGATGAGGTTTCAGGAATGTAGCCTTTGCTAGAGAGTGACAGGAAGTCACTGGAGATTAGGGCACGTTTACAGGCAGAAAGAGAGGCGCCTGGAGGCAGAGTGATGACTAACAGGGCAAGGTTCAGGAAGATAAGGCTGGGTACTGTGGCAATAAGACCTCCAAGGCAGTGATTTTGGCAGCACCCAGGGGGAAAAGCCAGGTGAAAGTGACCAACATCAAGGAGCTGCCATTATGGTAGAGAGGTGGCCAGCAGGCCAAGACTACAGAAAACGTCAGGTGTGTCATCAGGACGCAAGACAAATGGAACCAGAGTGTGTGTGTGTGTGTGTGTGTGTGTGTGTGTGTGTGAGAGAGAGAGAGAGAGAGAGAGACAGAGAGAGACAGAGAGAGAGAGGCAGAGAGAGAGAAAGAGAGAGAGAGAGTTCTATCATTGCTTATGAGAAACATATTCATGGGGACTACATTGGTGACTGGTCCTAAGATCTACAGTGGGACCCAGAAGAGGGCAGGGTGTAGTTTAAGTCCAAATGTGTGACACCCAGGAAGAGCTGCCATTTTCAGTTTGAGTCCAAAAGGCAAGAAGAAATCTGAAAGCCAGCTGAGCACATAAACCCTCTTGTTTGCTGGAGGTTCTGTTGAGACCCGAGGCTGATTGGATGAGGGCCATACATATTTGGGTACGTTAGTAGTTTACCGTTTACCATGTCTGCATTCAAATATGAATCTTATCAGGACACCCCCCGAGAATAACGTCATATCCGGTGTCTGGTCATTGCAGGCACAGTCTACACATGCAACAAACCATGGCAGAGAGAGAGGGCGAAGTATGACTGTAAAAAAACATGTTTTGGTATAAGGAAAGTTTGGAGGGCAAGAGGACTCTTGACAGTGGAGTTAACAAGTGACAAGTGACAAGGCCTCAAACCAACTTCAGCAGGCAGACCTGTTCCAACCTCACAGCCCTCACAAGAGTCGGTGCTGAGCGCCAGTTAGTAAATTATTTACAATTTTTATTAGCCAGAAAAGGTGCCTGTTTTCTGACCGGCATTTAATGACTCAGAGTCTTGCCAACCATGGTTATCACTTTCTATCTGGTACCTGGATACACTCGGTCAGCCCTGCTGAGTGCCTGACCCTGGACCTTTCTGCACGCAGAACACCAGCGTGCCTGTGTGACATTCCTGCTTATTTGTCTTAGGGAGTGTCATAGCCAGAATTTTCATTCTTACTTATTTATTTTTAGACAGGGGTCTCATTACATACCCCCGATTAGCCTGGAGCTCTTTAGATAGACCAGGGTGATCTTGAACTTATAGGGGATCTTCCTGTCTTTGCCTTCTGTCTACTGAAAACAAAACAAAACAAAACATTTTTTTTGTTTTTTTTTTTGTTTGTTTGTTTTTTGAGACAGGGTTTCTCTATGTAGCTTTGGAGCCTGTCCTGGCACTCGCTCTGGAGACCAGGCTGGCCTCGAACTCACAGAGATCCCCCTGCCTCTGCCTCCCGAGTGCTGGGATTAAAGGTGTGCGCCACCAACGCCCGGCTATTGATTTTTTTTTCACTGGTTTTGATCCAAAATGCATTTGACATTCACATTTGTTTCAAATGAAATGAGAAAAAATTTAAAAAAAAAATTTTTTTTAAAGAGAAAACAAGCACGGCTCTTGTGTCTACCACACAGGGTGGTCGCTCTCTGCTGTGTGCAGACTACAGGCTTCCTCTAAGTGCACTGTGGTGGTCTGAGTGAGAACGGCCCCCATCTGCTCTTACATTTGAATATTTGGTCCCCAGTTGGTGGAACTCTTTAGGAAGGATTAGGAGGTGTGGCCTTGTTGGACGAGGTGTGTCACCAGGGTGGGCTTTGAGGTTTGAAAAGCCCATGCCATATTCTCTCTCTCTCTCTCTCTCTCTCTCTCTTTCTCTCTCTCTCTCTCCCCTTTTATGTCACCATCATGGGCTCTGACCCTCCCTCTAAGACATAATTCAAAATAAATCCTTTCTTCATAAATTGCCTTGATTGTGTTTTGTTTTGTTTTGTTTTTAAATCACAGCAATAGAAAAGTAACAGTGGATATACATTGTCACATAAAGTGAATTACAGAGAATACATGCCTATGTTAAAGTATGATTTCTGGGCTCAGCAGGTAGGGGCGACTGCAGCCAAGCCTAGCTACCTGAGTTCCATCCCCAGGACCCACCTGGTAGAAGGAGAGATTTGAGAATGGACTGGACAAGTTGTTTTCTGACATCGCTATGGCACACACCAGACTCCATACACATACACACAAAATAAATACATTTTTAAAAATAAAAATAAATATGATTTCAACACAATCTGGGTGTGGTGGAGAAGCCTGGAGGAGATCAGAAGCTCAAAGCTAGCGTGGGATACATGAGAAACTGCCTCACAAAAAAATAAAACAAAGAAAGAAAGAAACAAAAACTCGGGCTGGAGAGATGGCTTAGAGTTTAAGAGCACTGACTGCTCTTCCAGAGGTCCTGAGTTTAATTCCCAGCAACCACATGGTGGCTCACAACCATCCGTTATGAGATCTGGTGCCCTCTTCTGGTGTGCAGACATACATGGAAGCAGAATGTTGAATACATAATAAATAAATCTTAAAAAAAAAGAAAAAGAAAAAGAAAAAGAAACAAAAACTCCTAGGCTGGGAATAGCTCAGTGGTCCCCGGGGTTAATCCTTTGCATTACAAAACCAAACAATAATTAAAATATACTCTGTGTTTACAGGCTGGAGAGATGGCTGTGGTTATTAAGAACACCTTGCAGAGGATCAAGTTCAGTTCCTGACACCAATGTCTGGCAATTCACAACCACAAGGAACTCCAGCTCCAGGGAAACTGGTCTTCATGGGAATTTGTACTCACAGGCATATACCTGCCCTACACACATGAACACAACTGAGTAAGTAAATCTTTAAAAAACCTAAATAAACAAAATATTATTTATACATACGTATAATTCCAACACCATCTTGGTGGGTACCTTGGGATAACGTTATGATAGAGTTATTGTGCCACAAAGTTCTTAGGGAAATAAACGACCAGTGTGTGTACATCACTTTGTTGCTGTTGTTGAGGCAGTATCTCAAGGCGTCCAGGCTGACCTCAAAGTTTCGAAGAGCTGGGATTACAGGCCTGAGTCACATCACCCAGCAATTGACTGTTGTAGGATATTTGTGTGACGATGTATTGCTGTGATTGGTGTAATGAAGAGTTGAACGGCCAAGAGCTAGGCAGGAGGTATAGGCAGGAGTTCCCAGCAAAGAGAGGAAGCCAGAGAAGATAATGGAAGCTCAGAGGAGATGTCAAGGGCGCAGGGCATACAGAATGAAATAAATGTAAAAAGCCGTCTGGTAAAATGTAGATTAATAAGAGCAGGCAAATTTAAGTTATAAGAGCTAGTGGGGTGAGCCTAAGCTAAGACTGAGCTTTCATAATTAATAATAAATCTCCGTGCTGTTTCTTTTGGGGGTGGGGAGGTGGCTGGTGGGACTGAGAAAGATTCGGTACAACTGACAATTTACCAGGGAGAAGTCTGTTCACATTGTTTTTGAAAAGCCATTGGGTTGACTTAACCAGTTCCTTATAGACTGTAAGCTAGAGGCTAGGCTGCAAACCCGCCCCACCTCTGTTAGCTATGTGGCCCTGAGCAAGTTCCTCAAGCTCTGTGACTGCTTCTTCAACTAAAATAGAGAGAAATAATAACAAATGGCTGACAGCAAGTGCTTCTAACAGGGCCACTTCTTGGGATTATTCCACAAACGTGTGTGTGTGTGTGTGTGTGTGTGTGTGTGTGTGTGTGTTTCCAGTTCACAAATTTGAACTCTGAGAACACCAAGCTGTTGAGTCATTAGAAAAGAAAAAGCAAGGTGAGTTTGACTCATCTTAGATAGATACATGAGAACCCCAGGCCAGGCTGACTCTGGGGACAGGAGCCCTGTGTCTGGATTGCCGGGTCGTAACGTCAGCTGCACTTAGAACCGTTGGTCTAGAACTTTGCTCACAGTAGGCTGGAAGTCGGATGGAGGAAGAGATTAGGTAGTCAGAAGGTCGAGTTTGACCTCACTCATTCTGACAGTGACCCTTTGTCCTGACAGAGCTGCGTGAGCTGCAAAACTGGAACTTTGTCAGCAGAGAGCCGGTTTGGAGGAGGCGAGAAGGGAAGAAAGGTCAGGAGAGCGTGGTTGAACCTGTACAGAGCCTGTGCAGACTCCTGCTCGGAGCGAGTGGTGGCCCTCGGGCTGGCAAACAGCTGCAGCAGACACAATTCACAGTCTAGAGAGGGGAGACAGACAGCTAGCAGACAAACCCTCAAGGGACCGGTGCAGGGCAGGGACGATGGCTCAGTGGGTAACCCACTTGCTTCACAAGCGTGAGGATTTCAGAACTTAGGGAGGCCGGGTTCGAGCTTGTCTGTGATCTCAGTTTTCCTTTGATGAGACCAAAGGCCAGCCTTTGATGACATACTGCAAGGCCAGCCTGGGCTACCTGGGACTGTCTCAAAGAACCAACCAAAGAAGTGCCAAAAGCAAGAAGGAAAGAAAAAAAAATCACCTTTCCCCTGCCCCATGGCACCCAGAGCAAGGGTGGTCAGGGGCTCCGATCTGGAACTTTGAATGATGAGGGCGTGCCCCGGAGATACAGCATCATTTGGAAGTGATTGGGATGGCTGTGGTGGAGCCTGGAGTACCGAGAGATAAATGTTCCCAAGCAACAGGGACCAACATCCACTGACTTCTGGCTGCTGCGTTTCTGGGGAGATGGTAAAAGGCAGGATCCACAGCATGCCATTTTGGAGTTTGTTGCCAACGCCATCCTCCGTACCTGATTCTCCCTTCTGGTCTTCCTCTTGGTTCCCGGAGTTCCTGAATCACCGTAAGTAAATTCTCCTTCCACTGAAAAGTTAGCCACTGCAGTTTTCTTGTGCTTTGAAAACAAGCATCTTGACTAATACAGTAGGAAAATGAGTCCCAGTTTCAAAAGATATGGCTGCTAAGATGTGGTGGTGGCCAGCAGTCTGAGCAATCAGAAGGCTGAGGCTAGATGAGCATTTGAGACTAGCCTGGGCTACACAGTGATACTTTATCTTAAAAATCAAGACAAAGCTAGTCAGTGGTGGCACACGCCTTTAGTCCCAGCACTCGGGTGCACAGACAGGCAGATCTCCTGAGTTCAAGGCCAGCCTGGTCTACAGAGTGAGTTCCAGGACAGTCAGGGCTACACAGAGAAACCCTGTCTCAAAAAACAGCAGAACAAAACAACCAAGACAAGGATCCTCTCAGCCTTGTCTTTTGGCCCATCTGTACCCCGTTGTGTGTCAGCCTCCTTTCTATCGGGACCCCAAGGACCAAGCTGGGCTGGGGCTCAGCTCAGAGCCTCACTCAGCTCTCATCAGAGACCTTTCCTCCTGCAGTTAGTTCCTCTGGGAACTAACACAGAGACGAACAGCTGGACAACACGCATAGTGAGGGACATTGGAGCACTGGGTCCTAAGCAGGATGTCTCCATCACCCCCCTCCCCCACCCCCCAAGGCTCAGGGAGATATGTGGAAGAGAAGACAGATTGCCAGAGCCAGAGGCAAGGGATGACTGCATGGAAACAGCCTCTTCTGGCCGCAACTGAACATATGAGCTCACAGAGACTGTGGCAGGAGGCAAAGGACTTGCACAGGTTCGAGCCGGGTGGAGAGGGAGAAGTAGACAAAAGCCACCTACAGAAGCCACCTGCCAGCAAAGCAAACACCAGTTTCCTCCCATGGGGTCTCTGGAAGTATTAACACACTTCAGAGAGGGCCCTGTGCCCAGGAATAGTCGGCTCCCACAAAAAAGTCAATGATATTTTTGTAGACTTTTTGTGTCATTTCTCTCTTTCTTTTTTTTTGTTTTTTTTGGGGGTTTTTTTTTTTTTTTTTTTTTTTTTTTGCCCTATTGGTTTATTGATTTCCGTCTTTGTGAGCTTTTGAATATGAGTTTCCCAGATTTTTGTTTGTTTTTTAGAGAGAGAGATCATAAAATTGGGAGTGTAAGGAGACGGGGAGAATCTGGGAGGATTTGGGGAGGAGGAAATATGATCAAAAGATGTTGTATTCGAAATTTTTTTCAATAAAAGAAAATTTTAAAAATCAAATCAAACCAAACAGAACAAAGACATTACGTCTATATAGAAGCTAGAAGTCTAGGCGTGATAACACACACCTGTAATTTCAACCTTGAAACTACACAGTGAGGTCTTCTCTTAAAAGGGAAGGGAAAACTATATCAGTGAAGAAACAGTCAGAAGCAAAACACACATTAAAATAGAGAGTGGCGGGGGGGGGGG